CAACCTGCCCTCTTGGGGATGCTGAAGAACCCTCAGACAGTGCATCTCACATCAGCTTCTGCCCACCTGGTCCTCCTTGCCCTCTTTTCCTGGTCATAGGAGGAGGAACTCATCAGCACAAAGACAGGAGGGTTGCACAGTTTTCTAGTACAGGTATACAGGTAGTCCCTGACTTACAACCATTTGTTTGGTGACTGATCAAAGTTACGACCACTCCTCACGCTTACAACCATCACAGCATTCCCACGGTTGCATAATCAAAATTCAGGCGCATCGCGACCAGCCATGTATTTATGATGGTTGTGGCATCCCAGGGTTGTGTGATTGCTCCCAGCTGGCTTCTGACAAGCAATGGAGTCAATGGGGAAGACGGGTTCACATAGCGACCATGTGGTTCGTTTAATAATGGCAGTGATTCACTTAACATCCACGGCAACTCCTTTGGGAGTAGGGCAGTATATAAATTTAATAAAATATAAATATAATATAAAAAGGTTCATAAAAGCGGTGGCTCATTCAACAACAGCCCTGCAGAACAATGGAAATTCTGGTTTCAGTTGTTGTAAGTCAAGGACTTACATATGGACGTGTGATAACACTTGGCTATTTTTAAACTTTTTTTAAAAAAAACCTTTGTATTCCTGAGCTTACACAGATCTCTCCTCCTTGAAATGGAGAGTTGAGGGTATGAATTTGAAACAAAACCTTCGGGTCTTGGACCCCAGGGACTAATCATCTTTCTTGTCCCCAAATCGGAAGGGCCCCCGCTCTGTTAATTTGCATCACCACCCGGTCTCTTCCTTTAGAGACTCGGTAAAGGCACCTCTCTTTTCTCAGGCTTTTAATAGTTAATTATTTTATTATTCATGTTTTAATTTACTTGTTTTATCGTTGGGTACGTGGCGTGTGAGTGTGTGTGGAGGGCTCTGCTGATTTAAATTGCAACTTGCCTAGAATGTTCATTTCGAGCCAGAACCAAACACGATAATTCTACGGATGTATAGATCAAGTAAATCATACATAATCAAGTAAATAATTAAAATCTGGAGGCCTTGTTTAATCGGCTGCATGTCTGTGTGATCAAAAGCATTAAGGAAAAGGATCAAAGGTGCCTGAGGAATGGCTCTGGCCAGACTTCCTGTGTGTGTCAAAGCCCGGCAAGCCCAAAACCAGCCTCTTCCGTCCACTTGGGTCACGTGGCTCCACCCATAGCCGGAGGGCTGTCACATCCACAAATTAAATATTAGGGAGGGAGTTTAAAGTTCAACCTCCTCTTTTTCTCTTCCCCCCCACCCCTCAGATTTTCTGCTCCGTGCTTTGCTTGTTCTGCTTGAGTGCCTTGCTGACGAGGTCTAATAGCAAAATGCCACACCGGGCTCTGGCTGGAGTTTCCCACCTATTAAACATTCTGAACTTGTCCTTTCGCTCAGAGATTGTGCATAATTAATAATTAAACAGCTTCTGTTGTAATGGGTTGACCTCCTTGAACTGTTCATTATTCACAAGGTAGAGGCAATCACTCAAAGCACTCCCACCGCCATCAATGCCACCCCGGATGGCGTGTCTCCGCGCTTGTCCTGCCAGTGTTCAGAAGAGTCAGAGGGTTGCGCTGTGCGAGAACCGAGGTTGCCTCCATCATTGGCTCCTCGGGAGGCCTGTGTGGACCTTGGATGGAGACTAGTGTTAGGAGAACCTGCCGTGGGGCTGATTTGGATCCTCACTCCTAATTTGTACATCCCCCAAAAGGTGTTGGAAATTTCTTGTTCAGATCTTGCTGGAGCCCAAAATTTCTGCTTGGCCTTCAGCCTTGTTTCCCCTCAGGAGGGTTTCTGAGGAGATGAAGAAGGGAGGAGACAGAGAGACCAGCCTGGCCCAGGATTCTTCAACGAGAGCAGTCAGGAGTTTCTGGGCTCAGTTTGGAGTCTTGAGAACTGATGAGGAATCTCTCACAAAATGGCTACCATGCGGGGAGAGATGTGGCCATTTGAAAGTGGCTACTGTTGGTCCACGAATAATGGTGCACCTGTCCACGAAAACAAGACCCACATGCATGTAGGAAAAATGCCTCAACCTTCTGCATAGCTCAGGCGATGAAAGTGTTCAGTTCAGAGGTCTGGTTGGAAAAACGAGTCTACAAGCATCTTATGGGGAAGGAGATCCTAACGAGAAAATGTCTGGAGCTCAGAATTAGCAATAGCAATAGCACTTAGAGTCATATACTGCTTTACAGCCCTCTCTAAAGGCTCTTGCCCCCAACCATCTGGGTCCTCATTTTACTGACCTCGGAAGGATGGAAGGCTGAGTCAACCTTAAGCCTGGTGAGATTCGATCTGCCAAACTGCTGGCAGCCGGTGATCAGCAGAAGTAGCCTGCAGGTCTGCACTCTAACCACTGTGCCACCACGGCTCTTAAATCGTGGGGTCCTTGGTGCTCTCTGAGCTTAATTGTTTGCTTGCAGATGTTTCATCACCCGACTGGGTACAAATAGTCCTCAACTTACAATCATAATTGGGACCGGAATCCCATCACTAAGCAATGCGGTCAAGTGAGTCATGTGACCCAGGACTGATTTTGCCACCCTTTTAATCAGTTTTGAAGGCAATCTGACTTAATGCATTTGCTTGTCAGAAGCCAAGTGGAATCACATGACCCCAGGATGCTGCAACCATCATAAATGCATACTGGTTGCCAACCCCCAAGTCACGTGACCACAGGGATGTTGTGATCATCCTAAGTATGAGGACTTGTCGCAAGTCGCTTTTTTCAGCACTGTCATAAATTTGAACATTCGCTACATGAATGGTCATAAATTGAGGACTACTTGTAACATCAGTGTCGAGAGGAGGAGGAGGGTGCTGATGACTTTACTAGTCGGGTCATGAAGTGTCTGCAAGCAAACAACCAATTGAAGGGGCACCAAGGACTCCATGGGGGGAGGCCTCGCCTGGCCTAAGGGGGCAAAGAGATTTCCTAAATGTGGGACCAGTGATTGTCCCCAGATCTTCACTTCCAAATTCCACAGGGGACTCACATCTGTAAACCCCTCAAATATGCCATATTAGCAAGCCTACCTGTTAGGTCTGTTGGAAAGAATATTGTGGAAGGCGACAGTCTCCAACCTTGGCAACTTTAAAACTTGTGAACTTCAACTCCCATCCCTGATGTTGCCAAGGTCGGAGGCCCTGGATGGACGGCAAACACCCACAAGCGGCCCTGAAAGTTCCCTTCACGTAATATAGAGGTGGGGAACTATGGCCCCTTTATGACTTGCGGACTTCAGCTCCCAGAATTCCTGAGCCAGCATAGCTTGTAGGCGTTTGCCTTCCACCATAGCTGGCTGAGGAATTCTGGGAGTTGAAGTCCACAAGTCATAAAAGGACCATTGTTCCCCATCCCTGATGTAATGGAAGCCCCAACCAAACAGCCTCCGAGGGCCTTCAGTTAAGACGAGGCCTTTTTTGAGCTTTTCTCTATTTGCCCAGCCTTGTGCAATCCACAAAATGTGTGTCAAAGGCAACGCTCCGAATCTTGTCGCCTTGTACTCTTCAGTTACTTTTGATTTAATTGTGTTTTGCTGCAATTTCTGTTTGTTTGAATTGGAGACAAAGCCTTAATAAGAGTTCTAGTTAATTTTCTATCTTGTAATTACCACTCTCATTTTTCTGATAATTGGGCCGTCGCAATTATATGTATATTTACTAATCACTTCAGCAGCTCGGTGGTTGCTTCTTGCCGCCGCCATTGAGAATGACATGCACACACATGTGTTGGCGGAGGAGCTTTGAGCCTCCTCCTCCTCTCTCCTTTTTAAACTCCCCCCCCATTCTCCCCATCGCATCCAAGCCATTTCCCTCGCAACCCTCCCTAATGAACCCCTCACATGCATTTGACACAGTTGTGTGCGAGAGAAATTGTTTGGCTCCCGCCAAATGTTACACGCTCTGAGTTTCTTGCCTGCAGCATTAGAAGGTTGTATGTGATGATAGATGGCTCTCGCAAACGGCCAAAAGAGGCAAAGCACGGCGAGATTAAAATAAGTCATTCCTTTGTTAATTTAAATAGGTGCATGCATCATACTTTGCAGAGCACTCGGGGACAGAGCCGGGTAAGGTGGCGGGGGAAACGGTAGCAAAAGCTGCCGAAAGATATTTTTAATAGCAAATGAGAATAGATGAGAAGCAAAGTCATTTGCAGCTGATTCCTGTTGGATGTGGCTCTCTTGTTCCAACTGTAGGACTAATGAGATGACTGTTAAAGTCCTCCACAGTGCCATTTCATTACATCCTGAGCTGTTAGACTATAAACACTGGCAAGTCTCTCTGTCATTCTGGGGCGGGAGGGGGGCACCGCCGAGCCTCCCCATGTGTGCATCTCCCTTTCACAGAGACCGAGCTCTTCCCCTTGAAATAACACAGGGACCCCCGCTCCCCCTCGTTGATGGAATATATCTGTGGCTTCTCTTTTTGTTGGGCGGTTGGTTAATTAGCTCAGCTCTCTCTCTCTTTTTTTTTTTTTAGTTCTTTATACACTCCTGGCTTCTTCTGCTTAAATCTAACAAGATTTGGGATTGCTAAGTGTAAATAAATAGCAACTATGATGGAGGAAGCGAAGGTCAACACAAGAATAATTTCCCAGCTCTTTGTTAATTACAAGACCATTTGGGTGTTACTTAAATAATCATTAATTTCTCATTTACACTTTCGCTACCTTCTTGCCTGCCCCGTGGCTATCATTGTCCGTTTCCGACTTCCCTCTTGGTTGGATTTCTACGTGTGTTTTCCCCACTGTGTAACGCTCATTACTTTTAAATGCAGGGCTTCCTTTTATTTGATTCCGTTTTTTAAAAACGTCTTCATTTGTTTGCCGTCAGAGAACGATGGCGCAATTTGACGATTTGGACTCACGCTTCTCTCTTCCTTTTTCTTCCCTCCCTCCCTCCCTCCCTCCCTCCCTCCCTCCCCTGCCCTCTCCCCATTCCCGTGGCCAAAACTGGCTTGTAGGAATCTCCTGTCCTTCCGGTTGGGGAGTTCTCGGAGCCGTTTGTACACTTCATCACTCAATGGTAAGCTTCGTTTGCAAATGTGCCGTGCCCTCGATGTAAATGATACATGCCATTAACTCCCTGTATCACAGGACCTTATGGCTTCCTCTGAATCCTTCCAGGGCTCCAGGGACCTGGCAGGGCTGGGCCAGCTGGGCCAGCAAAGCTGAGCAAACTGTTTAAATTATGTAAACGTTATTTACACAAAGGGTCATAAAAGTACTTTGGAGGGGGACTTTTTTGCCCCCACCCATAAACAACTGGGAATCTGGGTGCATTCTCGGAGAACCGGTTCTGTGCGTTTCTACAGGCACACAGGCATGTGTTCAAAATCCCTTGGATGAAGATGATAGATCATTGTATTTACCCATCTATCATTCAAGCATTTCTCTTCTTGCTTAGAAGAATAAGCTCCGCTTTTGAAGGGGATCCAAACTGCAGCCTCGATTAATTTGTGGGCTTTTTATTTGGAAGAAATTTTACGGGGTCTGTTTTTGGGAGGCTTTCTGATGAGGGTGCATTATTTAAACCACACTGTGGGGCATGTTTTCATTCCTCCAGACGGACTGGCTAATGGTCAGCCAGGAAGGCTCCTTAAATTAAAAAGCACCATTAAAAGGAAGCAGGTGTAGTTTAAAGTCAGAATCTCCTGAGCACCAAAAGGTTAACTTACCATAGCAAAAATACGTTCAGTGCCTCTTTTATGTGGAAAGCTGATAAACAAGTATTTGAAGGCTAAAAGAACAAGCAACTTATGGCCTAAACATGGTGGATGAGAGCTAGAATTACCCTTTTTTCTTCTCAAACAAAACAGCATAATTTAGTAGAGGAATGGAAAACAACAAAATCCACACACCAAGCCCTGCACTTACTAAAATGTAATAAGGGCAACCCTGTGTTATACGGAGAAAGACAGCAGTCATACCAGTAAAGTTGCATCACTTTAAAAAACTGAAGGTCTATTCTCTTTTGTGGAAGGGATGAGAGAGAGAAGCATTCAAAGCTATGCCTGAAACCAATAAAAGAAAATTACCCTCAGCACCACACAGAATTGGGCCAGCCGCTTGCAGTACTAATAGGAATATCCCTGTTGAAAAATACTGATGCTGAACAATCAAAATGGATGAAAAAAAACCCTACACACACACACACACACACACACACACACTTTCCTTTGTTCTAATTTTCCTTTCCTTTACAAGTAAAGTTTTTGACTGATGTCAATAGAATTAACTTTGAATGAGGTAACCAAGTGGGAGAAGCATTGGAATAATTGCTGATGACGGAAGCCTCTCCTGGAATATTCCAAAGGGAGGTGTTTTTTAAAAAAAAAAACAGAGAGAGAGAGAAGGAATTAACAGTGCGACTATTGTTAATTGAAATAATAAATACAAGGCTTATGTTTATTATAAGGCCGATCCACTTTGGGGTAGATTAGATTTCTGTAGTAAAGCTGGAACCATGGGTGATCTGTCTTGCTGTACCTTTCCACTTCTACCCAGAGATTAATCAGAAAGCATATTGTTTTTATATTTTTTAATTGAGGCAGGAGGAGGGCTAACCTCCACAGATACGTCCACAGATGTCAGGTGGAGGCATAAATGATAGCACATAATAGCCTCCTTCTCCCATAAGACCCAGCTACTTCGGAATGTCAGATTAAGCGTGTTGCCAAGGTGGCTTAGAACAGCTTGCAAAGAATGCAGCCCTCGGTTGGCTTTGCCGACAAGGGAAGGGACGAGGTGCTGCAGATGGGATTGGAAAGGGAACGGGGACGATGGCAGAGTGCAGCCTGGCCGGTTGTACAGGAGGAATTCCGGGAGCTTCACATAATTCTATGGAGATTCTCAGCCATCCATGTTTGTCCCAAAGGTGCTTTTTCAAGAGGCAGCTGGGCTGCCTTTGTTTTTCCTTGAATTTCTGGCTGAAGAACTGAAGAAGCTTCTTGGATGAGAAGCAAAACGTCTTCAAGGAAAAACAAAGACAGTCCAGTTGCCTTTTGAAAAAGCACTTTTGGGACCCCACATAATTTCCAATCTAGTAGCCTCACCTTTCAAAAATGGAACTGTACTTTGGGAATTGAGAGGTCCGAACCAAAAAAATCCAGATTCCTTCCAGCTTCTTTCTCTCCTGTCCTCTGTCTGCATGGGGAGAAGAAATAGGCCAGTTCTAGGATTGCTGACTTCACCATTGCAAATCATTCGAAAGCTCAAACTAATAAGGCCCTGTGATGAGATTCCCAAAGGGATTTTTCAAAAAAAAAAAAAGAAAAGAAAGAAAAACCCACAAGAACACCAAAGTTGCAGCCGAAAAAGCTGAAAGTTTGTAGGCCTTTGACAAGCTGGATCAGAGAATAAAGAGTAAACTCAGTGGCAGAAGTGAACACATTTCCTTTTTGGCTACTCTTTGGAGGGATTGTTTTTATGAGCTTTTGTTGAGTCACCTTGGATGATCGGGGTTTGCCCCAGGCCTGCTTCCCCAGTTTTTCTTAAGTCCCTGACATGTTCTCAATCAGCATCTAAAATGTGTTACAGCAAATTGAGAAAGAAGATAGCTTGTTCCTTCTTAGCTCATTGAAGCATAAAATATTTTGTTTTCTTTAAAAGACACCATTTGGGGCATGTTTTAAAGCAATCTTTCAACATTCCCCCTTGGTTAATACAATTTGGTTTATGACCGTTGCTCAAGCATCATGAGATATTTAAAAATCTTCTTGGGACATTTCCTAACTTTTTTTTTTTCTCTCCGTGTTGTCAGTATGAGGAAGCAACCAAAAGAACGACCAGCCCCTGAAGAATTAATGGTGAGTCGGTCTGGCTCTACAGCCTCCAAGACATAAACCTCAAAAGTTATATTGATTTATGATACATCCAAGTTTGTTTATTGTCTTTTCCCCATAAGTTAACTAATATCAAATCTAAACTTTGCTTCCAGCACTGGCATCCAGCAGACACTACTGAGATCTCATGATTTCATTAGCATTGTTAATCGTCTTCGGTAAAATTTAAGGGTGGGATCAGACATGCATTAGCAAAACCTTCTTGGAACGTTCTGGCTTTTGGGTCAAAAGAGACTTTCTATCAAGGAGATTATTCAGAGTCCTTCCTTAATTTGGTGAATTATGTTTTTTTTTAAAAAAATCCAGATTTTGTGTATGTGTGTGTGTATCAACATTAGCATTTGTGATATCCAGTACTCTATACCGGGGGTCTCCAACCTTGGCAACTTGAAGACTTGTGGACTTCAACTCCTAGAATTCTAGAAGTTGAAGTCCACAAGTCTTCAAGTTACCAAGGTTGGAGACCCTTGCTCTATACAGTATTTTTATTGTGAAATGGGTGGGTGGGAGAGCCAGACTTCACCTTGCTAAGATTTCTAAAGAAAGACTGTAATTTCCCCAAGTTTTCTTTGCTTCTCTTTGTTAGTAGCAACATGAAAGATGAACAGGTTTATTTCTCCTGCTTTCTTTAGAATGAGTATTTATTCATTTATTTATTTATTTTTTATGGTTATTCAATTTCTATAACACCCAACTTCCAATGACTCTGGGCAGCTCATGAAAAAACATTTTTTAAAAGGATACAATCAAAAACAAAAAATAAGGAATAAAGGCACCTAAAGATCCTAAAAACCTCAATACTCACTTTGTTGGGTACATCATTTATTTGGGTGAGAGGTTTGGGGTACTTTTTATATATCAGAGGAAAACGGAGGAAGGCAGATGCCAAGTTCCCATCAAAGTGAAAGGAGGATGGCCACGATCCGTAAAAATCACGCAACTCATGCTTTGGGCTTGTCGTCTTCAAACAACAGGACCCGTGTTCATATGCCTCACTCACTGCTAAGGGTATGTGTGGAACTGCTTTGGGATCTGTGCTGGGCACAGTAGTGATTGGGAAAGGAAACTGTTGTTGAAGATTTCACTGAATTGATTCCAGTATCGCAGGTGCTGCTTTCTCGGTTCTTTCTTCACGTTAGTGAGACATTTGACCTTGAATCTATTTTTGAAAGCCAGTAATTTCTGTTGATGTTGAAAGAGCATTTAAACAACTCTTGATATACCTAAACGATGTGGGACTTGGTATTTTTCTCCACACCACCCGTTCTATTTCTGAATGCGGTTAGTTGAAGCTGCCTTAATTTGCCTCTTTTTCTTTTCTTTCTTTCTTTTTTTTTTTATTAACTTGAGATGGTTGGAAGGTTCCTGCACTTAGTCACATCCGAGAGAACTTGGAACAGGTTCTAGAGATGGAGATGCATTTACCTTACACAATGTTATTATTCTATGCCTGGGTGGCTTGACTATTAAACCAACAGAATGGGGTTTCATAAAATCCGTAGCTCTTTGTAAATGCATGCTTTCTGTGATGCAATAGGCCCGGCACTTATAAATAAAACATCTGCAGATCGCACTTCACAACCCTCAGTATATATCAGTGTGTGTGTTCAGAAGCTATAACGCCACTCCAGGGTGTAAAGCCATAAAGACGGAGGCCAAGGGGTGAGTGCCGATAGGAACAGAGACGCAGAGTTATATATCTTTCCAACTACCTGCCCTGAAGTGCTCGGTTCAACTCATAAGGCAGTATCTTTCCCCCTTTAATAATTAAAAAAAAGCATGACAGCTTCAAAAAAGAGAGTTGGGCTTCTTTTAAGATTTAGTACTTTCTCTCAGGTTGCTTTTTCTCCTTTGAAAGCGGCCTTCTAAAGCAGCTGCTTAGCCAGCGAGGTTGGCCCTTCGGTACTGACGAGATCTCCTGCCCATGGAGGGAAGCCTGGTTGAGGTCTTCTTCGCTTATGGATCTGTGAGTGATCTTGCTTGGCCACACCTGCCGTTGGCTTCCTTCTAGGGTGGACTGAGGGTGGTAGGTTGATTTTCCAGATTCATCCCGATTTGGTTCTGGTTTTTGCTTACACTGCAGAATTGCAGATGGAGGGAGCTGGCTACCCTGTTCTGGTGAATGACTTCACAACAGTGATTTTAGGAACCACCAGTTATATTGGAAGGACATTTTTTTAATGGCCAAAATCTCCTGAGATGGTGGCATTCTCACCTACAGTTTCATGAAGACTTGAAAGATTTCAGACAGATTTTCTTTTTAATCAGGGAAGGGGGAAGGAGCTGAAAAGATGGCTACTTACACAGCAGCCGTTATTCTTCTAGTCTTTCTTGGTTTCCTCACGTGAGGAAGCCAAGAATCTGCTGAGGTGTTCAAGTAGCATTTTCATCTTAACCATACAGAACAGAATAGAATAGATTATGGGATGGGATGGGATAGGATAGGACAGTTCAGGACAGGACAGGACAGGACAGGACAGGACAGAATAGAATGGAATTTTTATTGGCCAAGTGTGATTGGACACACAAGGAATTTGTCTTGGTGCATAAGCTCTCAGTGTATATAAAATAAAAGATATGTGGAACTGCACCAATTTCTCTGTACTGTTTCAAATGTCATCCTGGTGGTGGATTTCTGAAAATCTTTTAGCAAGACAACATGAGGCATTGGCCATCTTTTGGACAGACATGCTGAGTTTTGCCAAGGGGACAGCGAGAGAGAAATGGTTGGGCATAGACCAGTTGGAGCAGAGACCGAAAATTAAGCTACCACAGGTAGCTCTTGACTTAACAATCACAATTGGGACCAGAATTTCGGTCACTAAGGGATTTGGTCATTAAGCAAGTCATGTAACCAGACCTGATTTTTGCTGTGGTCATTAAGTGAATCCAGCATCCCCAATTGACTTTACTTCTCTGGAAAGATCCCAAATTATGAGCACATGACCACAAGACTCTGTAGCCATCATAAATGCAAGCTGGTTGCCAAATGCTTGAATTGCAGTCGCATGACCAGGGGGCTGCTGCAACAGTCGTGTGAAGATGCAGCAAAAGTCACTTTTTCTGAGACTGTCGTAACTTTGAACCCCCGTTAAATGGTTGCAAATCGAGGAAGTTCCTGGACAAGTCCAGCTCTCTAACTCATTCCTTAGCTATAGAATGAGAAGAAAGCTACAGGCTCTTCTGGCTGCATGGTTACTTTAGAATACTGTCAAACTCCCAACCCCCTGGCCGGATGCGTCACACGCTGGCCACACCCACACCCGGTTTAGCAAAGTGGGGGGGAAAGTCCCGATACATCACCTGATGCCGCCATGACAACATAAGTTTGATACCTCTGCCATACATCATTTAATAAACCATGGCAGCAAAGTGAATACAGTGATACCTTGGTACTCGACATTAATTGGTTATGGGGAGTTACAAAATACGAATGCCAAACCATGCCACCCTTTGTTTTGGCTGGAAAAAACTTTCTGTCTGTCCTTTTCCCTATGTCATCCACCTTCCCAGCATGGCCGGCTTCCTGTCTGCCCTCTGCGGCCGTCCCCCTCGTCCTCTTGCAGTGCACTGAATATCAAAGAAACTACGAGTACCGGGGCAACATTTTTGCATCAAAATGCATCCAGTACCAAATTCGACGAGTTTTGAAGCCATTGAATACGGAGGTACCACTGTATTGCAGCTTTTCACGCCTCTGTTAGCTAAATCAGGACACATGACTCTAAAATCCAGTTTTGACTGTTATTTATCATCATCTTTTCCAACATCTGTGTGGAATGCTGTCCACCAGGTCTGGGCCTCGGTGTAGCAAGACATACACTTGCACAGGTCCACTGAGGAGGCCTTCCACGGGAGAAAAGGATTTGCTTTCTCTGAGAGTGTTGATCCTCAGAGAGAACCTTTCAACAACTTGAATGCAAGGCCCCTCAAAGACTACTCCAAGTGGTGCTCTGTCCCCCTTTTGACTGGAGAGCTGCCTCTGACGTGTGCCTACCAATGTTGTTTCCGTATGTTGATGACGTTGTCACAGCAGTAGCTGAAGCGAGCTTTGAATCGGGGTGCATCGCTTCCTTCCTTAGATCCCTCCTTTGCAATACCTTACGGCGCCATTTCACCTGGCTGCAATGCTTACATCCTTCATAAACTACCGATCGATCCAAGAGAGAGCCCGTTCCTGCCTGCTTACAAAGGGTTGATTTGAAGAGGCAGGAAAAAGATGTCTGTTTATCTGTTGGTCGGAGGGACGCAGCCCTGTACGAGGGGGACGCACGAGAGAGGGATGCACGTGGGACGCCAGGTCATGCGGCGATGCGCTCGGCTTTGGCCACCGTTGATTTTGGCCTCAGTGGCACCATTTTCCCGAAGCTTTCAGTTCCTAAGCTCTATTTAATGGAATCTATGCATAGTAAGTAACCAGGTCAGAGAGAGACAGCCTTCCCCGTTTGAGATCAATCGCTGGCTAATACTTTATCTAGGTCACTTTATTATCTCGTGGCGATGCCGTTCCCATCCACCGCCTCCTTTCGTAAGACACACTTCAGCTGTGGGGAAAGTGTGTTAGCGCATACATATTAAAAACATATACCCATTCTATCTGTATGTAAATGCACAAGGCACAGCTGGATATTGCCAAGGAGTTTGATTTACTAATGGTTATTATCTGTTCTCGCTGTTCAGTGGCAGGGAGAGTTCCAGCAAGCATCCGAACATGGAAATTGTCTCCCAGTAGTGCTAGCCTGCTTTTGAGAATTGTTTAGAAAGGCGGCCCGGCTTGTGGGGCTTTAGCACGACCGCGTTTCTGAAGGGGCTCCGGCAGCCCCTTGCCCAGTCCTCCTTGTGAAGCGTGTCCTCTTCCCCGAAAGCAGAGAACGTCCTGGGCGGCTCCTGAAAGCCACCCCTCCGCTGGACTGCCCTCCGCCCTAGAACAGAAGGCACTTTGCAGAAAACTGTACCCCCACCCC